AAAAAAACAAACAAAAAACCCACAATGCAAATGAACAAGTTTGGGTTCAGAAGCAACACACTTGACACTCTCTGCTCTGATTTCTTTCTCTTCTTTGCAAGTTCGAAGCCAGCTCCAGGGTGCACCCTCCTTGAAGCCGGACAAAAAGTGAGGCTCAGGTACCCATGGGGTTGGGCAGAGACGAGGAACATCAGCTCCTCACTTGGAGGCAAGAAGGACGGAACTGCTTTATCCTTTCCTTCCCCCGTGGTTGTGTTGGGATCTGCACTGTGCCCCCAAAGCGCACGCATCCTAGGCTTGGTTCCCTAAACTGTGGAGCCACGGGGAGGGGGTGGAGGCGTGGCCTAGCAGGAGAAAGTCAGGTCATTGTGAGTAAGGCCTTGAAGGAGCTATGGACACTCTTCCTTTCACTTCCGGGTCACAAGGGGATGGCATGGTTACGCTTCATTGTTAACCTGGTTGGCTGTGGGATCTGCCTAGGGGATTGCTGGTGGTCACACGGCTATGACCTGGTGTCTATATCTGGCCCCTGGGCTCTTCCTCCCTAGCACTGTTCCTCTGCTCGGCTCCCTGACTACCAGGAACTAAACAGTTCTGCTCACTATCCCCATCCACCATGATGTGTCTGCCTTGGAAACAGGCAACCATGGACATATCCCCTTAAAACGTGAGCCAAGGAGTTCCTCTTTTAAATGGTGGGTGTCGGGTATTCTGTTTCAGCAATGGAAAAGCTCCCTCACAGACGAGCTTGGCTGTTCACGAGCACGCCTCTGTTATGGTTTGGAGCTTGAATGCTCCTTGCAAGTCAGTAAGTGCAAGACTTGGTCCTCAGCCTGTGGTGCTACTGGGAGATGGGGGACCCTTTAAGAGGCGGAGCCTAGTGGGCGGAAGTGAGGTCACTGTGGGAGTGGCCTCAAGGGGATGTTGGGATCTCAGAGTCTCCCTCTTCCCTTTTCTCTCACTCTCCATCTTGGCCGCCATGTTGTCGGCCATTTTCCTCCTCCATGTTCCGACCATGAGGTCTGGCTTCACCTCAGGCTCAAAGTGACCATGAACTGAAACCTCCCAAACCACAAGCCAAAAATAAATCTTCCTCTCTTTAGGTTGATCCTCTCAGATGTGCTGTCGGAGGGACAGTGAGGGAAACATGACCAACACACCCACCCAGACAAGTGAAGAACAGGTGCTCCCAAGCTTTCTCAAGGGAGCTCCATGAGAAGATGAAAAGCTAGAGAAAATTACTAAGGTGACTCTGAGTGGACACATTCTGCACGGTGGCAGCTGTTGGCGTGAAGGTCTAATCTTCTCCAAGACTCAAGAGTTGAAGACAGATTGTTCTAGAAAAAAGGCAGAGCAGAAAATGGAAGATTCTGGAGCCCTGTATGGCTATGTTCATGAACACAGCTAGATGCAATCCAAACAGAAATAGACTTTACATATGCAGGAGCTGTTTGTTACTGCAGCTAGCCTGCCCTGACAGCTATAAGTTAGGAAGCAAGCTTGTGCCCAGAAGCCGGGGCTGCAAACAGTCTCCAAACTTGAGTGTCTACCACAGGGACCAAAAGACATTTGTTTCTCTGAGGCTCCTCACTGCACACACCCTGCAGAATTGACACACTGGACTTCAGCATGCAAACTTTAGGAACACCACTCCTGCAAATGCAGGTGCCCAGATAATCTTGGAAGAGATTTTCAAGTGAGTTGCACAAGGGGGCAGCCCAGTGACTTGCACGCTCAGCTCCCAAATTCTGGATCTCTTCAAGATGACACCCAGTTCACCTGAGGAGAAAGCTCAGGTCATTCTGTAACCTACAGAAGTATGAATTTTACAGCACACAGTGAGGACACAGTGGGTTACACAGATAAGATCGTGAAACTGTGAAGCGAAGGTTAAAGCAGTACCAAGGAGAAGGGCTGATCCTAGGGGCTTGAGGTAAAGGGAAATGGAGAAAGGCTGGGCAAAGGTATAAAGTTTCAGCTCCACAAGATGGTAGGTTCTGGAGACCCAATGTTGAGAATGAGGAGTGTCGTGGAAAACACGGTATGCTATGTTTGGAATTTGGAAGGCATCAACTTAGCTAAAAAAAAAGGGGGGAGAGGAGGATGAGGAGGAGAGAAAGAGAAGATAGAGGAAGAGATGGAGGAGGAGATGTAGATGGAGGAGGAGATGGAGGAGGAGATGTAGATGGAGGAGGAGATGGAGAAGATGGAGGAGGAGATGGAGGAGGAAGAGATGGAGGAGGACGAGATGGAGGAGGAGGAGATGGAGGAGGAGATAGAGGAGGAGATGGAGGAGGAGGAGACGGAGGAGGAGATGGAGGAGATGGAGGAGGAGATGTAGATGGAGGAGGAGATGGAGGAGATGGAGGAGATGGAGGAGGAGATGGAAGAGGAGGAGATGGAGAAGATGGAGGAGGAGATGGAGGAGGAAGAGATGGAGGTAGAGATGGAGGAGGAGGAGATGGAGGAGGAGAAGGAGGAGGAGGAGACGGAGGAGGAGATGGAGGAGATGGAGGAGGAGATGGAGGAGGAGATGTAGATGGAGGAGATGGAGGAGGAGATGTAGATGGAGGAGATGTAGATGGAGGAGGAGATGGAGGAGGAGATGGAAGAGGAGGAGATGGAGAAGATGGAGGAGGAGATGGAGGAGGAAGAGATGGAGGTGGAGATGGAGGTGGAGATGGAGGAGGAGGAGATGAAGGAGGAGAAGGAGGAGGAGATGGAGGGGGAGATGGAGGAGGACGAGATGGAGGAGGACGAGATGGAGGAGGAGGAGGTGGAGGAGGAGGAGGAGATGGAGAAGGAGGAAGAGGAGCAGGTACAAAGCAAACTAACCCTATGAAATGTGAGTATCTATTCCAAAGCATCAAGTTCTAAATATCACTATTCATCCATCATAACCAAGACAGTAGCAAATCTTTTTACAAGTCTGTATTAACCAAAATACAGGTTCCTTGTAAATCTTCCTGATATCATTAAACCCCCAAATTCAACTAAGCTCTAATAACTGCCACATAGAGCAAAATTACACAGCTGTCCCGGACATCACAGCCCAAGGCCAGGTGGACCTGGCGTGCACACCCCCTCGGGTGTGAAGTGACGCGCTCCTTAGACACGATTCCCGCGGCCCCCCTCCCACAGTGGGACACACTCAGTCATCTTTCTTTACAGCAAACAGTTCAGTGTGCAGACAGACCGTGGATTTAATCTGCAGGCAGATAACCCTGCAATGCCGGACGTCCAGTGAGGTGGCCGCACTGTCTCCCATGCCCACCTGCCCAGCTTGGCTCTGGGCTTCTATGCTGACAGTGGACCCTGCTCACCCTCACCACCTGAACACGCAATCGCACACCGGGGAAGTGACGGATGATGTCACTATAATCATACGACACCCACAAAACATCCCATCTTCCTGCCCTGGGCTGTGCTGTTCATGAAATGAAAAATATCTGCATGTTGGACCCAGACAAGGAAAATGAGTGAGGTGATTTCTGAGTCCCTCTGCTTAAATCCTGGTCCCTCCTCTTCACTAGTGCTCACTAGTGCTTTTCTGTCTTTCCTTTTTTTCCATTCCTTTCACTTCCCTTCTTTCCTTTCCTCTTCTTTCTTCCTTTTCCTTCCTTCCTTCCTTCCTTCCTTCCTTCCTTCCTTCCTTCCTTCCTTCCTTCCTTTCTTCCTTCCAGTACAGGGGTTTCAATTCAAAGCCTTCCCACTGAGCTGCATCCCCAGCCCTCACTAAACTTTTTACTGTGTTTTTTTATTGGGTTTCCATAAGTTGCTCAGTTGCCCAGGTTGGGCTCAACCTTGCCATCCTCCTGCCTCAGCCTCCCAGAATGCTGGTTCTGCAGGCATGTACCACCATACCCAGCTAATCCTAATACGTCTACCAAGACCAACAGATGTATTAAAATAACAAATACCAGCAACCAAAACATACAAAAAACGAACGAACCAATATCCCCTCATTCTTACTAAGAACAGGCAGGTAATTCGTTCTTTACATTTCAGGCAGAGAGAAACCCGCGATGAGAATTTACCAGCAGCCTCATGCCCCAAATGCAGCATGCATATCCATGGTGATTTTTACAAACTGCGTTTATTTATTTTTATCCTGCGCTGATAATAATTTCACTGTTTCGGCCTCTGAAGCTGGGGTCACCTTGAAAGGAAAGACTGAAACGGGAGTCCAGCCAGGAAAGGACACTGTGGTCAACGGGAAGACGGGCTGGGAAATTCTGAGAATCTTAACATCTGAGACTGATTCTTCGAGAAAACTGAAAAAAATCTCAAGCCCAATTTTCCTGTCAGGCCAGAAAGTCAAAATGTAAGAAAGACAGAGACAGAGAGGCGACAGAGACAGAGACAGAGAGAGACAAACAGAGACAGACAGAGATAGAGACAGAGAGAGACAAACAGAGACAGAGAGATAGACAGAGACAGAGAGATAGAGATAGAGACAGAGACACAGACAGAGACCATGGTAAATCCAGGTGACTCACGGACCAGAAGTGCACACAGAATGAGCAAACCCAGGCGATAAATTCAGAGTCAAGGAAAAAAGCACGTTGTCTTTTGCATTTTGGGTGATAAACCCAGAAGCAAGGCTATTCCTACCAGAGGCAGGGAAAGGTAAAAGCATAAATGTGTAAATCACTTCAAGAACCAGAAAGAGATGATTTTTTTTTTAAACTTTCAGTGCTTGGAGAAATTGCTCATTTCACAAAAAATCTGGCAAAAACAACACAAAGGGCTGGGCAGGACAGGGAGCAGGGGAAAGGTAGGAGAGATGGAAGAAAGGCAAGACAGCATGATTGAAAATCAAGAGAAAATAAAAAGCAAACAGCAACACCAGACCCACACAAACTCACAGGAATGATTTTCTGGCAGAGGCATAACAAGAAAACACTTTATGAAATACAGAACCAGCTGGAGAATTTCCAAGAACTCCCGAGACTCCACCCAAATACTGGCAGGATTTATCTAGCCTGTTGTGTGGATCAATGTCTGTTCCTTTTCAGCGCTGAGTACTATTCCATTTTAACAATGTCTCACCGTTTGTTCATACTGTCATCTTCTGCTGGGTATTTAGGTTGTTTCATTTAGAGGCTACCATATAACACATCTGCACCTGAGTGAGGGCTGTCTGACCTCTGAGCTCCCTCACGAAAAGAAATCATGTGAGCTGGGGCTGTGGTCCCTGATGTTGCCTGCTTTCTCTGTGGTGCACCCCCTCCTGCACCCCCACTGGGCCCCTGGGTGCACAATCAGGTCCGACCTCGGTCCCTCCCACCCCTTCTTCCCACAGCTTGCTCTGTGCCTGGCCCATGGCTGAAGGATTCCTCTCAACATCATCAGCTGACTGAGGGTCAGACCTATCCAAGTGGGGTCGTTCTGCATGAGTCCCCCTCACTGCACCCCCACGATCTGTAGACACAATCTGTTCAGATAGGGCGTGAGTGGTGCTATCAGAAGTGCCCCTCCAGGGCCGAGTGCTGGAGGCCTGGTCCCAGCGCAGGGATGGGGAGAGCTGGGCTCCTTGGGAGCTGTTTGGATCATGAGGGCTATAAGCACCTCTGTGCATTCATCCCGTGAAAGAGTCATGATTTCGTGGTGCTATTTGCAAGCACACAAATTTAGGAGATGGGTGTAGCTGAAGGATGTCACCAAGGCACCATCTTGCAGGCTACACTGTATCCCTGACCCCCTCCTCACTTCTTGGCCACCATGAGGTGAACATCTTTCCTGCACTACACCTTCCAAAATGATGTTCTTGCTCGGGAGCAATGAACCATGGACTGAACCCTTTGATCCATGAGAACCATGAGTCTATGAGTTTCTCTCCCTCTCTCTCTCTACTTCCTGGTCACCATGATGTGAGCATCTTTCCTGCACCCCACCACATCATGGTATTCCTGTCTTGGACTCAGCCTACCAGAGACTGAACCCTGTGAACCATGAAAATCATGAATTTCTCTCTCCCTTTTTCTTCCTATCTCTCTCGCACTCTCTCTCTCTCTCCTTCCTGTCCATCATGACGTGAGCATCTTTCCTCCACCCCACCCATCCACCATGATGCTCCTGACCTGGGGCCAGCCAACTACAGACTGAACTCTCTGAAGCACTGAGCCCAAACCAACCTTCCCTCCTCTGTGCTCTGTTTCTCAGGTACTCTGTCATGGTGACACCATGTTGACTGGCACCTGTGGCTTTGCAGGGAGCTGCTACGCTCCGTCTCTTTTCTAAGTTCCAGGGTGAGCATGGTTCACAGGACCGAGCCAAGCACAGCCCCTCCCATGGTGGGCACTGGCACTGCTCCCAAGAACCGACTCTGACTCTACTCTTTCAGTCTTACGAGGATCCTTATAATTTGACTGGCTGCCCTGAGATCACCCGGCACCTCAACACCCATCACCCACTCTAGAAAGCCCCTTTACTATGGATGGCCACAGTCATGGATTCCTGGGATTGGAAACGGACATCTTTGGCAGGTGCCCACCACTCAGTCTAACAAGTCCTAATCATCTGTAGGATCCCCGCACCCCCAAGGAATCTGAAGACCATCTCTTCCCCTTCTGGGGATCCAGAGGCCAAACCTCAACCCTGCTGTAGGGAAGGCAGGTACTTACATCTTCCGAGCAGCGTCCTTCGGAGGACGGATGGCTCTCATCCACCTTGGCGTCAGACCCCAGGGCTGAAGTTGCACACGGTGGACCCTCAGTGCTGGGAGCTGAACTTGCACATAGTTCTTTAGCTCCAGACACTGAGTTTCCACAGCACACGTCAGCGCCTCCAGGAGAAACCTGTGCACACACACAGACACGCTTAGCAAGTGCTTTGTACACCTGAACTAGCTCACGGCCCTCTGAACTTTGACCCATCCTTCTGTCTGAACAGACAAGGATGCCAAAGCCTCCCATCCGCTCTCATTAAATGCAAGCTCAAGTCAGGCAGGGTCTTGTACACAATTACCACCACTCTGGGAGGCTGAGGCAGGAGGATCGCTGCAAGTTTGAGGCCAGCCTGGGCTACACAATGATCTCAAGGCCAGCCTGAACTTACAGCGAGACCCTGTCTCAGAAACACAAAAAATACTCAAATGGTGGGAACTCTGAAGAACAAAGTAAGAGGAGGAAAAAGGAGATGGAAAGCAATTAAGATATGTCCCAGCTAGGAACGACCCCCCAAAACAAATACAAACGTCACGTACTGCAGACGAGCACCAGTGAAAAGGAAACTGGGACGCTGGAGGAGATTTCACTAGAAAATAAGTAGTAAAAAATCACAGTAGAAAAACAGAAAAACACCCATGTGTTTCAGTTTCACAAGTAGGGTGTCTGCCAAGAATTGACTGCAGGTCGCTAAAAATTCTGCTAGACATTAACACGCACGAGGAAAGCAAGGGTCCCCGTTACCTAAGTGTACAGCAGCTACGCTTTTTCGGGGCAAACACACTCCCTATGTGGCAGACAGCACACGCTTTGCCACGCAAGGCACATAGGATATTAAAGCACATGAAATTGGGATCAATCCAAATAATTTTTTTTCAGTATCGCTGACTGAACCCAAGTCCTTCGCTCACACTGAGCTCTACCCTGAGCCTCTTGTATTTTTTATTTTGAGATGGCCTCTCACTAACTCACGAAGTTGTCCAAGCTGGGTTCCCACTCCAACTTGCGATCCTCCTGCCTCTGCCTCCCAGACTGCTGGAATGACAGGCGTGTGCCACCACCATAAATAAATAAATAAATAAATAAATAAATTTCTAAAAAATGTCATTCACATACCAATCCTCCAACTGTATTTCTTTCATTGTTTGTTTTAATGTAACAGAAGTAGATAATGATAAGGAAAATATAAAAAGCCACAAATACACTGAGCGCAGTAACCTGAAAAGAACATCCAGGATGTTCCTCAGAGTGCAAACCACAGACATCAAAGTGTCTCTTATAAAGAAAGAAAAAAAAAAAAAAAAAGGACTCTCCTTATGATTGCTATTTTGGGTGATGATTTCAGTGAGAGAATACAGGAATGAGGGGCTGCGGATTTAGCTCAGTGGCACAGCGCCTGCCTGGCAAGCGCAAAGTCATGAGTTCGATTCCCAGTACAGGGAAAAAAAAAACTAAAGAAGAGAATACAGGAATGAATTCGGCCAGTGAATATGGGAAATGATCCTCCACATCCTTGGCCGTTACTTTAAAGCAAATTCAAACAACTCAGAGATTCTATCTCACCCCAGGAAGAATGGCTGCCATCAAGAAATCAACCAGTAACAAACGCTGGAGGGGCTGTGGGGGAAAGGAACCCTTCACTGTTGGTGGGCACGTAAACAGGTACAACCACTATGGAGATGGAAGTGGAGATTCCTCAAAACGCTGAAGCCAGAAATCCCATTTACCTCCGCTGGTCCCCTTTTAGATGTCTCCCCAAAAGCCGAAAATATCCCATCACAGGGATCCGTGCACACCCATGTTTATAGCAACACAATTCGTAAGTCTTGCAAACACCTTGTTTTCCACACACAGATGAATGGATGAAGAAAACGTGTATACTTAGCACTGGGGAAGCTGAGGCAGGAGAACTGCTGCGAGTTCGAGGCCAGCCTGGGCTACAAAGTGAGCTCAAGGCTGGCCTGAACTGCAAGATCCTGTCTCAAAAAGATGAAGAAAAAAAAAAAAAAAACTGTTTCCACACAGCAGAATATTAGGCAGCCATGACAAGGGATAAATGCCAGTTACTTGTGGGAAAATCGATGCTCCTTGAGTCCATAACGTTAAGCGAAATCAATCGGGCACATACACTGTAGGGTCTCATGGTTTCTCTTGTGTGAGAAACCCAAAGGGTCAGTAATGAGCAAAAACAAAAGACAGAGAGATGGTAGGTAGAGAGAAAAGGAGACGCACAGTCCAGAATGGAAGGGAAAATAATGAGCGCAAACCTTCTGTACACACAAAGACACCGAGAGCTGGGAGCGCGGGGCAGGACGGGAGGGAGGGGGGCGGGGCCAGGAGCGCGGGGGCAGGATGGGAGGGAGCGCAGGGCACGATGGGAGGCGGGGCAGGAGTACAGGACAGGACAGTAGGGAGGGGAGGCGGGGCCGGGAGCGCAGGGAAGGACGGGAAGAGAGGCGGGGCCACAGCGCGGGGCAGGATGGGAGGGAGGCGGGGCCAGGATGGGAGGGGGCGTGGCCAGGAGCGCGTGGCAAGATGGGAGGGGAGGCAAGGCTGGAGCCAGCGGCAAAATGGGAGGGGGCGGGGCCAGAGCGCGGGGCAGGATGGGAGGGAGGCGGGGCCAGAGCGCGGGGCAGGATGGGAGGGAGGCGGGGCCAGGGCGCGGGGCAGGATGGGAGGGAGGCGGGGCCAGGGCGCGGGGCAGGATGGGAGGGAGGCAGCAGCGGCCGTGCGCACACCCGCCCCACACCAGGACTGCTTGCCAGCAGGGCACACACGGGCTCCGGGAGCGAGCGAGGAAGCGTGGGACGGGACCCGCAGGAGCCTTACGTGGGGGCCGGGGGGCTCGGGGCTCGGGGCGGCCCGGCCCTGTGCGCACAGCGGCAGCACGTGGTCGTGGTAGATGCGCCACCAGAGGCTGAGGAAGGACTCCTGCCGCCCGCCAGGCGGGCCTGAGCCCGGGCCACAGCCCGAGCCCTGCTCCACCAGGGAGCCGCTCTGCGGGCTGTACGCGTAGCTCCAGGGCTTCCTGGACCCCGAGAAGCGGACCACCTTGGCGCTGGACCCGAACCTGCGGGGACACAGGGAGGATTGTGACTCCAGGGAGAAGTGGCCGAAGGCACAACACAACAAGGACCCCCGCGCGCCACCTGGGGGCACAGAGCTGTGCGGAAGGGGCCCGTGCACCCCCAGTGGCACCGGGTCAGCTACATCGATGTGCAGCTCTTCTGTGTAAAGATAGTTTTTAAAAAGCCGAAGATGCGACGGATGTGGTGGCGCATGGCTGTCATCCCAGCGCTCGGGAGGCTGAGGCAGGAGGATCGCTGTGACTTCACGGCCAGCCTGAACTCCAGGGTGAGACCCTGCCTCGACAAAACAAAACGAAAACGAACAATAGCAACAAAACAAACCAAAGCTGGAAAGTGCACATCGCACATCCATTATCCTAACAGCAGGGGACCCAAAGCGCTTTTCCGGTTCTGCAGGAGGGACACAGCTTGGGAAGGCAACAAACGTCAGCAAGAAATCCTCTCGGATCCAGCTGCATCTCACACGCAGCCCAAAGGTAATTTGCCACGGCATTTTCAGTGCATTCAAAACTACTGACCGTGGGATTTCCCACAGTACATCATGCAGTAATGAAAAAGTTTGCATTTGGGGGCATTTTGGATGTGGGGTCTTTGGGTTAGGGCTACTCAACTGGTATTTCCTGTCTTTTCCTGCACAAAGCCCTCACCCACTGAAGTTGGTTTACTGCAGACTGAGAGATTTAATCGTAACAGGCTGAGATTCTCCCTAAAAATGGAAAAGAATCAACCAGAGTTTTCAAGACGGCAGCTAAAAATCGTCCGACCCTTAAAAGGACAGAAACAAAAATATGGTAACATTTACAGTGCGTGAGGCAGATACATTGCCAAGCCACCGTGAACTTATTCTCTTTTATTAAAACAGAAGTCCCTGGAATTCTCTGCTCTGCAGATGATTCTCTGGTTTTCTATCTTCAGTTTTCACCATTTCTGCTATAACAACAGGTCATCAACTCACCACAACAGAAGCAAGCCACTACCTACGAACATACATACTCCGTTTTTTCACAGAAAAAGGTTCCTTTTATTTATTTATTTATTATTTATTTAGGTACCAGGAATCAAACTCAGGACCTTGCGCTTGCCAGGCAGGCACTGTGCCGCTGAGCTATCTCCCTGGCCCAGGTTCCTTACAGTTAAAAAAGTATGAGAAACAGGAAATCTATTATCCTAAGTGCTCAGATGACCCTAAGTAGTGTTAGCATTATCCTCACTTCTACAACCTGAAAATAGACAGCTGGCTTCTCTTCTTTCTCTCTGGTCAGTGTATCTTCTTACCACATGCTGTTTCATCTCAATAAAATTCCACCACTTCCTCGTAAGAGAATCAGCGAAGATGGAAAATAACATCTTACCATTCATTTTTTTCTTAATGGGAAAACTCGTGCGTTTCCTTGGAAGACACTTTGGGAACCACTGCTATAAATCTTTCAACAACCCTACATCACGAACAGATGATGTGTTATAAATTTGTTCTCTATCAAAGGCTGATGCATAGAGTGTGATTGAAAAATTCAGTGAAAGTTTCATTTTTAAAAATAAATTCTCCCAGTATAGACTCATTGGCATGAATCCCCTCAAAATCCTCCTGGCTTTGTGCACACACTCATCCCACCGTCCTGGCCGCCTTCTGCAGTAGCTCTGGAGTGCTCCTTCCTGAGGGTCTTCAGCTGCACTGTCCTGGCCGCCTCCATGTCCTAAATGGACTCAACAAGTTGACCTCACTGTGACCTTGGGAAGAAGCTGCAAGTCACACGGTGCCAGATCCGGTGACCAAGGTGGATGAGGACACAGCGTCGTGTGTTTACCAGCTGCCTTGCCACTGGGTGGGGCTGGGCAGCGGCAGTCACCATGTTTCTGATCACACCTGGGACAGACCCTCAGGAAGGAGGACTCCAGAGCTGCTGCAGAAAGCGGCCAGGACGGTGGGATGAGTGTGTGCAAGGCCGGGGAGGATTCAAAACAATGTGCCTTTGGCTGTAACACATGCTTTTAAAACTGTAAACTTGCGCCGTGTTTGTGCATGAGCCCCGGGGCTCCCTGGGAGATGAAGCGGGCCGGGCGGCGGCCCGGCCGGCAGGTGGGCACACAGGCAGCTCACTGTTGGAAGGCGGGGCTGTAGGTGTACGCGGGGCTGCTGCTCAGGTTGTACACGAAGGGCAAGTGCTTGTGGAGGTCGGCCGTGGCCCAGGTCCTGAAGAAACTGTTCAGCAACCCTTGGTCGGCCCCTGAGTGACGGACCGAAACGAACAGAAGTCAGTCAGCGCAGTCTGGCAGAGCACGGAAACGCAGAGGAGCGCGTGAGTAACTATCTACACTTCTTCCTCTTCACCTTCTTCCTCTGTCTCCCCCCAAGTGAAATTCTCGCCAAAATACTCCACTCATAACTGGCCTGATCATCAACTGGGAGGCTGAGGCAGGAGGACAGGTTTGAGCTCAGCACAGGCGACTTAGCAACACAGCACCCCGGGAATGTACCAGGTGTAACAGTGGGTTTCCCTGATCCTTCCACAGGGTTATTTCCATTGCATCTTGCCCTCAGGCACTTTTCAGCATCTCCTATTGTCTTTTACTTTCCCAAACTCACAGCACTTTTCTGATGTGCGGATGGTCACTGCACTATCTAACGTGCTTTCTGGAAAGTGTAGCTATCTGCGGTGGAAGTTGAAAACATCCCAATTTTAAACTCACTGCCTACGCTTTTTGGGGCACTGAGCATTAAATCCAGGACCTCTGCACCGGGCAACCTCCTCAGCCCTTTTTTAACTTTATATTCAGCTGGGGGCTTGCTAAGTTGCTAAAGTGCCCCAGCTAAGCTTCAACTGGCAATCCTCCTGCCTCAGCCTCCCAGAGTGCTGGGAAGACAGACGTCCACCCTCATGTCTGCCTCACTGAACTATTTAATCTCCAACCTAGAAAAACATCCACATTCAATTCAAAATTGTTTCCGTGTGAGTCTGCCCATGTAGGATATGACTACACAAGTGGTTTGAAGGGAGTATTTGCGTGTGAGACGATAGGGATTAAAACGCAGAACACAGTTCTGATCCAGTCCTTCAGGGCATGCTGTGCACCGCTTCTTCGTGACGGACACCGTCTACTCCTCCTGACTGCTTCTCAGGGAGCTTTCCATATTGTTCTACCTGCATTACTCACTCAAAAATGTCTTCTCAGTCTTTTGTATCATGATGCTGAGGTGCACCCAGGGCCCCATGGACAGTAAGCACGTGCTCTCCCATGGAACCAGACACGCAGCCCCGAGAGTTCCGGGGGAGAGGGCTGGAAGCCGGGCTTTGTGCATGCTAAGAACGGGCTATCGCTGAGCGACATCCCAGGTACCAAAGAAGTTCATTGTACTGGGGGGTAATACAAACCCAGGGACTCTGCATGCTAAGGTATCACTCAGTGCGGAGCCACACCCCCAGCCGCCTTCACAGTCTGCCACTCTTCTATCACCCTGACTGAACCTAACCTGGCAATTGTCCTCCTCTTCCTCCTCCATTTCTTGCTCCTCCATCTTCTCCTCCATCTCATCCTCCTCTATCTCCTTCCTCTTCTCCATCTCAATCTCCATCTTCTCCTCCTCCTCCACCTCCCCTATCTCCTCTTCCTCCTTCTCCTCCTTTCTCCTCCTCCTCCACCTCCTCGTCCATCTCTTCCTCCTCTGTCTCCTCCTTCTCCCTCTCCTCCTCCCTCTCCTCCGTCTCCTCCTGCATCTCCTCCTCCATCTCCTCCATCTCCTCCATCTCCTCTTCCTCCATCTCCTCCTCCATCTCCTCCTCCTCCTCCATCTCCTCCTGCATCCCCTCCTGCATCTCCTCCTCCATCTCCTCCATCTCCTCCTCCTCCTGCATCTCCTTCTCCAGCTCCTCTTCCATCTCCTCCTCCTCCTGCATCTCCTCCTCCATCTCCTCCTCCTCCATCTCCTCCTCTTCTGTCTCCTCCTCCAGCTCCTCCTCCCCCATCTCATCCTGCCCAATCTCTTCCTCTTCCATCTCCTGCTCCATCTGCTCCTCCATCTCCTCTATCTCCTTCCTCTTCTCCATCTTCTCCTCCTCCTCCTCCACAGTACAGTGGATTGAACCCAGGGCCTGCACAGGGAGCTCCATCCTTTACCCTTTGGGAATTATTTTTTTAAATTGTGAGACCCAGTCTTATTAAATTTCTGAGTTGCCCACATTGGGCTCAAATTTACCATCTTCCTGCCTCAGCCTCCCAGAGTGCTGGGATGGCAGGTGTGCACTCCCATGCCCCGCCTCCATTCCAACCCTTGTCTTCACGTTTTCGGTTACAGACACAGGGCCACACGGCGGGTGACAGACTGAGCCAGGCGAGAGCTCGCATTCCTGCTGCAGATTCCCCGGCACCTGCACTTACCATCGAAGCTGCCGTGCTCTGTGGCGTGCTGCAGAAGGCGGCTGTGCGTTTCCAGGGAGGGATGGAAGACGAAGACCCCACTGTTGAAGCAGTCTGGCCAGCCGGGGTCCGGGGCTGCTGACAACTCATCCCTGTCGAACAGCTCATCAATATTGGACAGAACCTGAAGAAAGAAAATGTGGACGACCAGTAACGGTATTTCTTTTGCCTCCAGTGGAGATCACTGAAAAGCGCCATCGAGAGCCCAAGTTGGGGCTGACCACCTGGTGTTTGGAAACCACTGCCTACTTCTCTGGTGATTCTAGAAAACTTTCAGTCTTCTGCTCCAAAGGAGAAACATTTATGAGAAACACTGTTCTCAGGCTGATTTCAAGTAGTGTGTGCTAAAATTAAGTAACTTTGAGGCCGATTTTACAATGTCATCTTAGTCACTTTTCTTAGAAGTTTAATTAGGCTCACGGTCGCAGAGGGTTCAGTCCATGGTGTGCTGCTCCAAGGCAGGATCATGGAGGATGGGCGTGGGGAGGAAAGACACTCACATCATGGCAGCCAGGAAGCAAAGAGAGAAGGGAGGGCCCAGGAAGGGAGATAAACCCTTCCAGGTCATGCAGCACAGGGACCCAAGTCTTCCAACCCCAGTAGCACAGTCAACCTTGAATTTTCAAACAGATGAATCCAACAATGAACACGGCACCCCATCCCATGATCTAAGCATCTTCCGAAGTCCCTCATCAGAACATGAGGCTTTGGAGACTCTTTGGATGCAAACCGTAACATTCCCCATGGAATGCCCTAAGCTCCTCCTGTAGAGAGTGTGACCCATGACCTGCAGGACTGTGGAACAATGGAATTGCAGGCTATGCCAGTACAGGCCCGCCTGCAATTCAACATGGGAGGATCAGCTGCCTTGGGGGAGCCTGGCTACTACTTCCAATTTCCTCCAGTTCACATTGGTGTTTTTCTTTTCAGCCCTGGGGAGTGAACGCAGGACCGTGAGACTGAGCTGCATTCCCAGGCAATTTTTATTTAGAATCAGAATCTCACTGAGTTGCCCAGTTTGGGTTCAAACTTGTAATCTTCCTGCCTCAGCCTCCTAAAGTACTAAAATGACAAGTGTGTGCCACCACATCTGGCTCAGGTTGCCTTTCCAAATTGTGCTGTGTTTCAAACCACTGGCCTGAGGACAGAGCACTGGCGTTCCTCTGGACCCCGTTGTCTTAGCCAAAAACTGCTGTCGTTTCATATTTAGAATCTCCGGCGATGACGCTGTTTAGAAAACGTCCATCACGGGTTTGCACTGCAGATAACAATGCAAAATAGCAGCCAGGCAATGCCACAGTTTGCAGGGCTGGTGCCCCATTCTGGTCAGGAACACACAGCTCAATAGACAATCAAGACAAAATATTGCCTTCCAAGTTTTCTATGTGGAGTCGATCAGATAATTTGCTCACCAACCCGTCCTGCGGAAAGGACCTTTCTTCAAGTGCCTGAGTATCCTCAGGAATAGGAGCACAGGACTCATCATGACGGCTGATTCTGATGGACTAAAGCTCCATGCTAGGTGCAGAAATGCACAATACCTCATGGGGATTATGGCGGGTCATGTTCACCATCCACTTCTCTGACCTGATGGATGCCTAGGACATTAGTGGTCTGTCTGGAGGGGTCGTGGAGGTGTGACACTGGGACTGTATCTGATCCCTGGCACCTCTGTCTTTGGGTTTGTGTTTATTCTCTGCTTCCTGGGTGCCATAAGTTGAGCACCTTTTCTCCGCCATGTTGTACCTGCCTTGGAGCCAGCCGATTATGAACGGAACCCTCTTAAACCTTGAGCCTCAGAGAATGAAGCAATTATGAACTGAGCCCTCTGAAACCATAAGCAGAATTAAACTTCTTCTCCTTTTAGTTAATGCATACTGGTACTTTGTCTCAGCAACAGAAAACTGGCTAATCCAGGAATCTACCTTCAGGAACAAACATCTAGCTGGAGCATACAGAGGCTCAGGCTTTGATGGGTTCCTCATTAAGTGGAGAATGTGGTGCTGGTCTTTTCTCCCCAGACTCACCAGAGTGTCCACATCCAGGAAGACACACTTGCTATACTGGGTGAGCGTCCAACAGTGAAGCTTAGTGAGAGTGACCCCCAGCTCCGGTCTCTTCAGAAAGGCAAGGTGAGCATAGTCTTCACCCTCCAACACGTTCACCTCAATCACCTCATCAAAGACCCGGGAGAGGACAAGCCTGGTAAAAGACACACAACAGGAGCTCAGGACTGAGTCCAAGTACTGTGGAATCATCCTGATTCTTCAGAGGCTCTTCAGGTTTTCCTCTGTTGTTCGGTCGGCAGTCTCCGTCCATTTGCGAAGGAATACTCATGCTTCAGTGGTGGTCTTTAATAAGGAACTTGACCCTACACAGAAACTCTTCGTGGACAAGATTAAAGAATACAAGTCAAAAGACAGATATCTGGAGGATCTGTCGATACCAGCTCAGAGTATCAGCACGATCTGGACAGAGAGCTTTATAAGCTTAAGCAAATACATGGTAAAGTAGACACGAACACATTCCCTACCTTCAAATTTGAAGGTCCCACATTTGAAGTCATCAACAAACCTCAGGCTTGAGGAAATAACATAAAATTAACCTGGTAGTTTGTCATGGATTTGTTGTATAACCAGTAAATACCAGAATAAACAAAAATTTCACAACTGTCCAATGCTCCTTTAAATTATTTGATGATGCTGAAAAAAAAAAAGACGACAGACAAGGGGACGGCAGGTGACCACGTACACAGGGCAACCTCCTCTTTCAAGAGCATGGCAGATGCTGCTTCGGAATATGGGACATGGGTCTGTCTCACTGCAGTCTTCACGTTCAGAATTTATCTTCCAAGAGCAGAAATTATGCAACTGCGTGGAAACAAAACAATACACTCTTACATAAACAACAGGTTACAGAAGGAACCAAGGAAGAAAATAAGACACTTGTACCTAAGTGGTAATGCCACTCCATGAAGGTATTCCTAAGAGGGCGGTTGACAGCTGTGGATGTTCACGTCAGGGCAACAGAAGAAGCTCAGATAAATAACCTGTCAGTGCACCTCAAAGTCCTGGAAAAGAGCCGAGCATGGTGGCGCACGCCTGTAATCCCAGCACTCAGGAGGCTGAGGCAGGAGGATCATCGCAAGTTTGAGACCAGCCTACAAAGTGAACTCAAGGCCAGCCTGAACTGCATAGTGAGACCCTGTCTCAAAAAGACACAACAAAGAAAGTGCTGGGAAAACAAATACAATCTAAACCCAAAATAAGTACAAGGAAGGAAATGACAAGGATCAGAGCAGACATCAAAAAAAGTCTGGACACAAAAAAGAAGTAAAGAATTAATGAATCAAAGAATGGGTTCTTCCAAAGAATACAGAAATAGACAAATGCTTAGCCAGTCTAAGGCAAGCAGGAGTGAAAAGATGCAAATTGATGCAACTGGAAATGAGAAAGATGAAGTTATCACGGAAGCTGCCAAAACAAGATCATGACCAACCACTTCACAAATCTGTATGCCAGTACACCGCAGAATTCATAAGGAAAGTGTAGATTCCTGGTGTGCAAACCGCAAAAAGTGTGACAAATTGAACAGAATGGTCTTAAGGTAGATTGACCCGGGTCATCTCTTAGAAAGAGCGCTTCCCTCGGCAGAATGCACAGGCAGAGAAAAGTGAACCCTGACCAGGAAAAAAACAAGAGGTACCCACTACAACCTCCGCCAGCCCTTTCCTTTCTGTGTTCAAACCTGACATTGCTGGTTGCATACATGTTTGATACTCAGTTCTTGAAAGATACAGCTTTTTGTCGAAATAAAATGTGCCTCTTAGTTTTTTTTTTTTTTAAATAAGCATCTGGCTTGGCCTTTATTGTATAATGAACTGGAAAATCTAGTGCTGATTCAAAAAAAAAGGACTTAAAGAATTGCTAGAAAGGGAAATAAATTAATCTAGGAAGACAAGAGGGAGGTGCTTGTGAAATCTCATCGACCAAATAACAAATTCAAAGTATAAAGCCAGGAGTGGTAGTGCACACCTGCAATCCCAGCACTCGGGAGGCTGAGGCAGGAGGATCATTGCGAGTTTGAGACCAGCCTGGGCTACAACATGAGCTCAAGGCCAGCCTGAACTGCACAGCAAGACCCTGTCTCAAAGAGACCAAAAAAAAAAAGGAATGCAAAGTATAAAAGGAAAATGTTGACAAGTCTCCCCTGTAAGTTCCTTCACACTGAACTCCATCCCCAGCCCTTTTTATTTTTCATTTTGACACAGGGCCTCACTAAGTCCTTAAGTTGCCCTGGCTGGACTTACTCCAACTTGTGATCGTCCTGCCTCAGCCTCCCAGAGTGGTAGGATGACAGGTGTACACCAACACACCCAGCTTGCTGTAATCCACTCTTATCAATCTTCAGGAACCTCTGCATTTAAAATCCTGTCTTGGAGCTGAACTATGACGGGAGTTACTTTCTCTGTTCTATTTCATCCACTTTCCTTTGTTTCTGAAACTTCGGTCCGACAGACCCTGAAGTTCTGTGCTCAATCGTTTTGGAGTTTCCAACATTTCCTTGCAGTTCAAGTACATGGTTTTTCGTTGTCTTCAAAGTCACTGCATGGCTAAGAAACTCCTAGTCTGTCATCTCGTTTCCCTTCCCTTTTTGGCCGGTTCTTGACAGAATTTATGGTGTCCCTCACAGCTGAACGACACACAGAGCCAGCCCCACTCCAAACAGCCCTGGGACTGACGCCCTCAAATCCTCCTACGCATTCCCGTAAAATATCATCCTAGCAGCAGAATCAACGTTCATGACGAACCTCGTTTGAAGAGTGTGAGTGTGTGCCCTGCAGTTTGTGCACATGCAGAAAGTACTGCACCACAAAGGCTCCTGATATCCTGGGAGTCTTTACCAGGTGTGATCAAAAACTCAGTGACTGCTGCGGTGGAGCACCATCCAGCAGAAAGGCAGCTCATCAATTCAGGACGCCGTGTCCTCGTCCACCTCAGTCACCAGATTTGGCACCGTGCGACTTCTGGCTCCTCCCCATGGTCAAAATGACCAGGAAAGGTCAATGCTTTGAGTCTATTCAGGACATCGAGGCAGCTGGGACAGGGCAACATCACTTCTTCACCTACACCCCTCTCTATACAGGGGACAGTGGGCACACTGCAGAGGGTCTCCCACCCTGGGACCAGTGTCCACCAACATGGCCATCTCCCCCAGCTCTCAGCACCCCAGAAATTCTGAATCTGAAAGTCCAGGGGACCCAGGACAAGGTCCACCACCAAACCTCTTTCCTTTCTTTTTGGATCCTGTCTTAGTTAGGACAGAAAACACACCAACTGAAGAAGCATCCATTAACCTGAAGTATCTTTACAACCATGGGTTACAGCCAATTTGGTTGAAGTCTTCTCCCATTTTCTGCCCCCATGAAACCAGCATTTATAAAGATATTTGCTAAGGTAAGTGGTTACAAACGTCTAACCCAGCTAGTGGGTAACTTCACTAGACTTTAGTTTTTCTGAGAGAGCTCAAACTGTATTTACTGTCCATGTTTCACACTTTTTGGTGTATATGTCTATTTTTGCTTAGTGTTTGTTATACATGACCAAGGAAGGGTGGTGTATGCCTACCATCCCTGCCCTCTAGGAGGCTGAGGAAGGAGGATCACAAGTTGCAACCCCGCTTGGGCAACTTAGCAACTCAGGAAGACCCTGACTCAAAATAAAAAATAACAGATGGTTGAGGGTATAGCTTAGCCCAACAATCCTGGATATAAAATCAGCACATGCACACACACACACACACACACACACACACACACACACACAAATATACAGGGTATTTTCTACACACGGTGTTCAATAACCAATCTCTCCGTTGGAAATATTGTTAATGTGCATGCCAGGAGGTTCTTTTAAATTTTTAAACATAAACGGTTGAATATGCATTTAAGATGCAAGTCTAGTACCTTTTCTGTATTTGTGTATTTGCGCTGTTGCTGAGAATTCTTTATCCGTGCTGGACAATAGCCCACCTCTCTATTGTAAGGACTGTGACAGTGGCTGGCCAGGCTGCTTTAGCTTTTAAACATAAACAACTTTTCCAATGCTCTCCTTTCTTTTTTCCTCATTTAGCAAAGAGTTCTTGGGGCAGAAGAAACATTCACTCACAACAGTTTCTTGACAGATTTTTGGTTGTCACAACTGGGGCGGGGTATCTCTGCTGATACCGAGAGGGTGGCCCCCAAGCACCCAGGAGACAGCCCCACACAGAAGCACCAGCCCCGGATGTCACTGAGGTTGAATCTGACGGACTCAGACTGGTTATTTTCTTCTAAGACTTTTCTTCCCACCCATCAGTCATCAGGAACACCTCTCACATATCATCCACTCCAAGCTCTCTGTAATATTTGCTTTTAAAATTTAACCCAAACTACCACTTTTTTTTTCATCCTGGGGATTGAATCCAGGGCTCTCCCACTGAGCAACATCCCAGCACCTTGGGAAGTAGTTATTCTGAGATAAAGTCTTGCTAAGTCTTTAAGTTGCTAGGTGAGACTGGGCTGGAACTTAGAAATGAAATCCTCCTGTCTCAGCCTCCCTTTTATAAAAATGTCTACATTTACGTTTTGTGACTGTTTTTGTTATGGTTTGTGTGTTGAAACTTAATCTCTCCACTGTGAGGTGCCCCAGGGAGTAGAAAACCTATTCTGACTCTGGTATTTAGAGGAGGAGCTTTTGGAAAATGTTTAGGATGAAATAAGAACATTAGGGCAAATCTGGCTGGCTTTGTAGGAACAGGGATAAACCTCAGAACAGAGCTTAGTGTCCCCATGGAATAAGTTGATCATTCATTCGATAATTCAGAAGAGGATTAGGTGGGACAGTCCCCCTTTTTTTGACTGCAGCCCGAAGTCTATGTGCCCGGAGCTAAGATATCTCTGTCTCTCTAGCGAGCAGCTTCTCCTGCTTTCCCTTACTCAGGACTTCCTGTCCCAAGCTTTCTGCTATCTGCACTCAATCACTCTCCCAAGATCCCAAACACAAGCCTCCAGGAACACACAGAAGTAAGCGTTAACTCACTGCTGATCCATGCAGCATGACAAAACCGTGCCTGCAACATCTCGGCCTACAAACAGTCCAGCACTTTGCTTTGTGTAAATACACTCTATCGGGTCCTCACAGCAATATCAGCCACGGGTCACAATTCTTGAACATCCTGGACTGTCTCAATCACTTTTCTCATTGCTGAGACAAAATACTCAACACCTCAAGTTAAAAGGGGAAAGGTTAATTGAGTTCATAGTTTGTAGAGGTTTCAGTTCATCATCAGCTGGCTCCAAGGCATGGTGGCACATGGCAAAGAAACAGTCCATGGCAGGGCAAAAGGAAGAAAAGCAAATAAGGGACAAGACAAGCCTCTTTCTTTCCGTCACACTGCATCCAGGCAACCGGGATTCGGGTGGTGACAAACCAACCACTGGACTAATCCAGCAATCACCAACCCTTAATCCCAGTATCACACACTCTAGATCCAGCCATCTCTGACAAAGCCCCACCTACGACCCCGTGAGATATCCAGACACAGATCCTAACAGTCATCATTAAACCGTGCACATATTCTGAGGTCCACTACTCAAGATGCCAGATGTCCAACAACTTTCACAGTGATGGGAAGATGCGCTGTAAATGGCGGACATCCACCATGACTGTTGGCTACCCAAGATGGCTGACGCTCACCTTGATTGTTAACCACCCAAAATGGTGGACACCTGCCATGACTGTTGGCCACCCAAAGTGGCTGACACCCACCATGACTGCTGACCACCCAAAATGGCAGATACTCACCATGATTGTTGACCACCCAAAATGGCAGACACACACCATGACTGCAGGCACCTAAGATGGCAGACACCCGCCATGATCGTTGGCCACCCAAAATGGCAGACACCCACCGTGATTGCTGACCACCCAAAATGGTGGACACCTGCCATGACTGTTGGCCACCCAAAATGGCTGACACCCACCATGACTGTTGGCCTCCCAAAATGGCAGACACCCGCCATGACTGTTGGCCACCCAAAATGGCTGACACTTGCCATAATTGTTGGTCACCCAAAATGGCGGACACCCGCCATGATTGTTGGCATCTAAAATGGACACTCGCCATGACTATTGGCTACCCACTCCACCAGGCAAAGGTTGGCAGAACCCAAGACAAATCCTACATGCCCCAGGACAGTGACAGCTTTCACTCAACTGAGAGAAGACACCTGGGCAGGGTAAGCATGTCTGCACCTCTTACCTGAGCGGGTCAGATACCTGCGGCGTGATCATCACCACCAGCTTCCTCGTGGTCCTGTGGTTTCGCAGGGATTGTCCCAAAACCAATGCACCCTGGCAGGAGATGTCACTGGTGGCCAAAGTAACGAAGGCCTGGTCGGCCACTGTGGACAGACAACATCAAGGTTCCACTCGTGAGGAATGCTCCACAGTGACAGAACCTGCAGTCCCCTGGTCTTCTCTCACAATGCCTGGCTTGCACCCACCCAGCTCACCACCTTCTTAAATGTACATTTGGGACGTCTTGTACGACGAGTCCTTTCGGCCCAAACACAGATGCAGAAAGAATGTTAGAAAATGCTGAGCTTCAGGCTGCCTCATCCAGGATATATTACTTTTTCCTGGTTTTCCATTACGAAGAGGACGCACTGTATGTTTTCATATTACGTTAGATTTTCTTTTTTACTTTTGCTTGTTTTGTCTTGGTTTTGTTGGTTTATGTTTCACATGATCTTGTATATTTAACCCATATTGTCAACCTTTTTTTTTTTTTTTTTGAGGTAGGATCTTGCTAAATTGCCCCAAGATAGATAATTTACAAAATTACAATCCTCCTGCCTCAGCCTCCCAGGGTGCTGCTAGTACACTCAGCTTACATTAGAGTCTTGGAAATTCACCCAGGAAGTGTGCTTCTATTTTAGGTGGATAAAACAGGACAGGAGGACGGGAAGCAAATAGTAAAATCAATACTCTGATTACTTGAGTTGCAGCAAAAAAGCACACACAACTAAAAGATAAATAAAAGTGCTATCTGACGAAGTGACCAAGATTGTTCATCAAATTCCACACAAAGTAGTTGTTAAAAAGATTTGCTAAGAGATCATAAAGAAAAGTAAGGAAAATTTATTCATTTTACGTGGCTGGGACAAAATACCTAACACCCACAACTTAAAGAGGGGAAGGTTCAATTTGTCTCACAGTTGCAGAAGGTACAGTCCATAGCTGGCTGTTCTAAAATAGGAGCATCATGGTGGATGGGCGTAGAGGAGGAAAGATGCTCGCGTCATGGCAGCCAGGAAGCGGAGAGAGAAAGGAGGAGCCGGGGACAAGAATACACCCTTCCAGATCACGCCCCAGTCACCACCTCCAACCAGGCCCCGCCTCCTACAGCACATTCAGCCAGGAACTTATCCATGATGGATCCACTGAGGTGCACACAGCACCCCATAATCCAGTTACCTTCCAAAGCACCACCTCAAATGAGGAAACATTTGGGGTCATTCTACATCTAAACCAAAATAAAACATTTTCATTAAACAGAAGGTCGCCCGTGCTCTAATGTTCCAGGGCAACAGGAATTAGGTCTAAGGACAGAGCCACTTTGTGGTCCTTTGAAGTCCGCGTGCATATAAATGAGATGAATCATACAGTGAATTTTCAAGAACCTGACTCTTGAGCTCATCGGAGCTTGCTACCAGCATAAAGACTGGAGTGGAAGGAAAGGAAAAAAAACCACTGAGAAAACCCCCACGGCCTGCAGGCTGGCACGCCTAGCACAGAAATTAAAATTCATTGCAGGTAGCCAGCAGCCAAAGCACAGCCAGCCGCGTGATTCTGGAAGACACACACGCCTCCCCTTCCACACCACACGGCACCCTCTGCACCAGCGGCGGAAATAGGGCAGAAAAGTAGTCAAAGTGAATATCATTAATATCCGGCTTCTGTCAGCGCGGCAGTCCCTGGGGCTGGCTCCTCGACCTCACACTCCAGAGGGGGGCCTCCAAACTGCGCCCGTACCAGTGGCTCCTCTGGAGATATCCCCGCCCCCTTCGGGGTAAGAAGGAAAGAGAATTCCTGGCATCGCCACTGTGGGCAGCCTATTGCAGACGGCAGACTGCAGTAGTCAGGTCTGCAGAGCAAAAGATACCCAATGTCTGTCGATCACACACCCACCTCTCTGTCCTTCCGTCCATTTATGCATCCATCCACCCATCCACCAATCTGTCCATCCATCCACTCACCTATCTAATCTGCGTATCTGCCTGCCTGTCTCCTGGTTCATCCATCCATCCACCTATTTATCTATCTATCTATCTATCTATCTATCCATCTATCTATCTATCATCTAATCTGTCCATCCATCCACCTGTCCGTCTACCTGCTGGTCTGTCCGTCCGCCCATCCATCCATCCATCCATCCACCCACCTATCTATTCACCCATCCATCTCTCTATCAGTCATCTAATCTGTCCACCCATCCACCTGTCCATCTATCTATTGGTTCATCCATCCATCTATCCTTCTATCCTTCTATCCATCTATCTATCTATCTATCTATCTTTCTATACATTTATCTACCTATGTATTCATCTGTCTTTCTATATATCTATGTATTCATCTATCTATTCTACATGTTTATCTACGTATTCATCTATCTATCTACCTACCTATCCACCCATGTACTCACCCACCTGTCCATCTTATCCATCTATTCATCTATCTCTACACATCATCTACCTGCCATTTGCATCTAGGCTACTATGTATGCATGCTCTCCCTATCTCCTACCTACTGGCTATCTTCTATCATATATGTGTATCTATTTCACACTGCTGAGAGGTAAACGCTTTCAGCACCGCATGTCAAATGCTCTAGCAAAGGTGGCCCAGCTCAGCACAGAGTATAGAATATACCCTGGTGGAACGTATCCATCAGCCCAGCAATAAAGATGAAACCATAAGCCCTCCCCCACCCACTCAGGAATGTGCAGACCTGGTGCACATGCATCCCTTGATTAATTCCATCCTAACTCTCTAATGCCTTTCAAAGACAAAAGAAAAACAGTTCCCTCCACAATTCCCTTGCATCCAAGGTCACTCTAACCTCTGAGTCCACAGAAGTCCTCAAAATAACTAGTCCCTCCTGCCTCCAAAAACACAGTCAACTAAAAATAGCCAAGAAAGGAATCAGAAAAGCAAGAGGCAGGAGCCAGGAGAGGGTGGAGAGAAAAGCCTGGGCAGAGCATTTGCGGGCATGGAGCCCCCTAGCTGTGAGCATCTTTCTTCCCCCATGCCAGTCCGCCATGATGTCCTCACTCTGGGACCAATGGACCATGGACTGAACCTTCTGAGATCAGACACCCGCCATGATGTCCTCACTCCTAGACCAATGGACCATGGACTGAACCTTCTGAGATCAGACACCCACCATGATGTCCTCAGTCTGGGACCAATGGACCATGGACTGAACCTTCTGAGATCAGACACCCGCCATGATGTCCTCACTCCTGGACCAATGGACCAATGGACCATGGACTGAGCCTTCTGAAATCAGACACCCGCCATGATGTCCTCACTCCTGGACCAATGGACCATGGACTGAACCTTCTGAAATGTGACATAAATCAAACCCTTGTCCCCTAGGTCGTTTTTCTCTGTATTTTCTCACAGTGACGAGAAGCAGACTCAGACAAATATCAGTGATTGGTAACTCCTGCACTGGTTGTAGAGCTATTCCTGAGGACTCAAGAGGAACCGTTGGAGTAAACAGGTACTACAGTCTGAATATCACTCCACTCACAAATTCTTGCATTGCAACCCTGATCCCCAGGACCTCAACCTATGGCTAGGTGGAGCTGGTGTCTTTAAAGAGCTGGAGAAGGTAAACTGAGTCTCAGAATGGCCCCAACCCCACAGGACCAGGTTCTTCTGAGGACAGGAGGATGCAGACACGCACAAAGCACGCGTGTGTGAGACACAGGGAAGAGCCGGTGCTGCCCCCTCCTGGACCTCGGGCTCCGCTCCAGGACAGAAGGGGAAGCATCTGTGGTTTAAGCTGCCCGGCTGTGGGACATCCAAAATCTTAGATAGCTGCGCGGGAAATTCAAGGTGCTGACCAAGCGCTGCTGGACTCAAACTGGGGAGAAGCAGCGTAGAGATTCTTTCCAGCACCCCTTTCCAGGCACGGAAACTCCCTTTTGCTACTAAGCTGCAGTTTGATGAATACAGTCATCTATTTACTTTGTACTGAAGTCGCCCATGGATTCCACCCTCCACAAAGAAATAAGACATTTCTGGCAGAGTTAAGGAAGAGCTGATTTCTTTAGTCATTCTTGTATTTCCTCCCAAAGAGCAGAAAACTCTTCCTAACCAGAAGGTAACCGAAAGACATGGGATACCTCACCAGATCACCTTCTCCCCATTTACCATTTTAACATCCAGAAACACTGAAAATAACCCGGCTTTGGTTGGAGCTCTTCCTGCTAAAAATGGGGGTCCGTGGAAATACTGTAAATGGGGATTACGACAAAAGTACATTTTCAACTGGGTTCAGACATAGTAGCGACTTATCCATGAGAAAGATAAATATCTCAGGTAAGTAGGACCTGACTGAGGCTTTGGGGAACAATCACAAGAAAGCCTAAGGGCAAGGAAGACCCCTCCCTCCGATGAGCGAGGATCCTCCACCTACTGGCCAATAGTCAGATCCCACACTGCCCCGTCTGTCACACTCTGCCTGACCCCAGTTTGCCACTGGGTGCCAGCAGACACCCACCATCATGCAATGTTCCCCCACTTAAGGTCTGAGTTTACTACCACCACGGCCCCAGGACAGCTTTGGTCATCCACCAAAGCGGGGAAAATAGAAAGACAGTCTCTCCCTGTATTTTTTTTTGAGACAGGGTCTCGCTCCGCAGTTCAGGCTGGCCTTGAGCTCACTTTGTAGCCCAGGCTGGTCTCGAACTCCCAACAATCCTCCTGCCTCAGCCTCCTGAGTGCTGGGATCACAGGTGTGCGCCACCACGCCCAGCCCTGTTCCCGTATTCTAACTCAGCTCCAAACAAGCAGTTATTTTAAAAATAAGCATAAATAAACCAAGCCAGCCTTCAGACTGCAGTAGCACAGTTTTTTTTTTCTAAAGAAGTGTTTATTTCTATCCCTTCCCTGTTCTGCACGGGGCCCTGCCAAAAATCCAAGCCACCCCATAAAATAACACCGGTGGCAATTTCCTGTTTCTTTTCGTGCTCAAAGGTACTTTCTGTCTGGGGCAAAGAGCTGAATCCCCACACCGGGGTCCCCGAGGGTCCCGTGGGACATTCCAGCGCTGACCCGAGCCCCACGAATGCGGGCGTATAAGGACCCTCCCAGCCTTGGAGAGAGGTGTGTCTGCACCGTATACAGCTCCAAACAGGTTCAAAGAACACAGGGTCCTTTCTGCAGCTCTGCACCGGGCTCTCACGCAGCCTCTGCAAAGGCCAGGGCGCACCCAGCTCCCGCCTGAGGCACCAGTGGGGACAAAGTACAAGACAGAAGGAGCTCAGGGACCAAGTCTGGTCGGGACCAAGAAAAGGGTGTCCTTGGAATTTCTTGCAGAAAAGCCTACAATACTGGTGGTGACAACTGCCCTCTGATTTCTAGGTGTTTTGGCCTAACGTGACATGCACAAGACCCTCACGGACCGACCTGGCTGGCGAGGCCAGGTCTCACCTGATGTCATTGTTGCCGGGGAGAAGCAAAGCAGGGGTCTCCACAGAACAACGTAACTTGGACCAAGGACCCAAAGTCTGACACCCCAAAGCCACCTCCCTCCCGAATGTTTATGGGCGCAGACTTCTTGCCATGTGTCTGCGAAGCACAGAGAATATTATTTGGCCTCTCCCACAAAGCTGTTTCATCTCAGGAGGAAAACGCAGAACCCTCAGGGGACCCCCAGCACCCAGTAAGTCACCCCTCTGGCCAGCTGCTGTGAGACACCCCGCGTCCACAGACATCCGGGACGCGCAGTGGGGACTCGGGGTTTGAAAAGTCAATCGTGGAAGGCGCCTTGGGCTACTCACCCGACATGGTCCGAGGCGGGGTCACCGGCGTGCGCCCTGGCGTGGGGCGAGGGTGATCAGCGCCCACCAGCACCCCGGGCGAAGCGCTGTGTCCAGCCAGGGTCCTTGTGTGAATTCCCGGGCCTGCGGGCGACAGAGCGACCCTCCTGAGCCCCTCTCCACGGCCCACACTGGGGCCCCCAAGCCCTGGGCCCCTGCACGACCGGTGCACCCCAAACCCTGCTGTCTGCAAAGCCGCCTGCTCCCCACAGCTCCTGTGGACCCTGCGCATCCCACCTAGGTCGCCAGCCGGGACCAGCGCCGGAGAGGGCGGCTCCCCGCAGTCCGCACGCGCTCCACTCCTCCTCCCAGCTCAGCTGCCTCTGTCTGCACCCAGATGCACGCCGGGCGCCCCCAGATCTTGCACGCTGCACCCGTGCATGGGCTCCTCCGTCCCGCAGTTCCTACTGCAGCCGCGGGGCCAAAAGCAGACCGCGTCCCGGGCCCCCGTGCGCCCAGGCGCCTGCACTCCCGCACCCTGACTCTTGCACCCCTGCACCCCTGAACTCAGCGCTGCCACCCCGGCCCCCCTGCACCCTCGGCCTCGCGCTGCGCACACCGCCGTCCTGTGCGGGCCGGGGACCCCCAGCTCCCGGGCGCTCAGGCCGCCTTGGCACCAGGCCCGGGGCCCCCTCGGGAGCCTTTGGCCCTGCACCCCAGCCCGCACCCCTCACCTCTCCAGCAGCTCTGCCCTGGCCTCGGTGCTCCAACCTCGCGCAGCCCCCAGCCTCCTCCCC